TTGGAAATAACGTTTTCTTTTCTTTTATTTTTGATTTTATTGATTTTGGTTTTGTTTGTTTACTGATAAATAAACTGATACCTTGAATAATAACTGTGAAAAACCTTCTGCTACCTAAAAATTTGCAGATTAATAAAGAACCGCTCGTAACAGTATCATTTCACATTATTAAAAAAAATTAAAATTAGCATATTAATTTAGAAGATAAATTATCTGAGAATTAGTTTAAGATATTTAAGCCTTAAGATAATTTTAATTAACAAAAAATTGTAAAGTTATTTTTAGGAGCTATAGTATTAAATATTAAGATACAGTAAATATCTTTTTATAATGATATTTAAATTAATATTTATTTTTATTTATTAATTTTTTTTATTTTTTTTTAGAAGCAATAATTGCTTAAATTGTCTAATAAGAGATTGAATAAAAAAATAATAGATAGAAAATTAGATAAAATAAGAGATGATATAATAGATGAAAGATTTAATAAAGAATTAGATGAAGCATTTAATAATATAATAGAAAAAATAAAAGAATAGAAAAAAGAACAAATAAATAAGTAGATATTAGTTTAAATGAAGAGTTGAATAAAAGAGCAAATGAATAGTTAAATAATTAGTTAGATAAAAGATTAAATAAAAAGTTGAATAAAAGATTAAATAAAGATTAAATAAGAAGTTAGACAAAAAAACAAATAAAAAATCAGATAAAAAGACAAATTAAAAAAAAAATAATATAAGTATTTAATATTGTTAGTTTAAAGAAAGAAATAAATTAATAAAACTTAAAAAATAGTTACTTGAAGAAAGTATATTAGCTAAATTATCAGAGAATAAAATATATAATGAAAGTTTACTTGAAAATAATTATAAAAGTTTGCTTAAAAACAATAGTAAAAGTGTATTTGAATATAACTATAAAAGTTTACTTAAAAATGATTATAAAAGTTTACTTAAAAATAACTATAAAAGTTTACTTGAAAACAATTATAAAAGTTTACTTGAAAATAACTATGAAAGTTTATTTAAAAACAATTATAAAAATTTATTCAAAAATAATCTTGAAGTTTGTTTAAGCAAAAAGTACAAACCTTCTATTTTAATGGCTATTATTTTAGATACAAATATTCAAATAATTGTATTATTTTAATTTAATATTATAGAATGAAATTTATTTTATTTTTTTTGTAGATTGTTAGATAAACATAGTTCTGAAAAAAATCTCTGAAATAAAAATAATATTCAAAAAATATCAGTATATGAAGTTTATTAAAATATTATTACAAAGTCTTTTAAATAATATTACAATAATATAAAGATACAACTTAACAATTGTAATAAAAAATTTGTAAATAAATATAACATTAGAGATTTAGTATACATTAAGATTTCTGATATTGATAAGATATATAGTGATTAAAAGATACTTTCTTGCAAAATTTTTGAAGTTTTAGAAAATAATACATATAGACTTAAATGTAAATTTAGTATTATTAGAATTATATACAATATTAATGAACTTCTTCTATTAAATTCTAACAAGTTTTCAGAATTAGATAATATTCTTTTAATATTTATAAGTATTTGAGAAGTATTTATTATGTAATCATCTTGCAAGTAGACAATATTAAATATAATTGCAAAAATATATATTATAAAAATTATTATAAATATAAAAAAAGTAAATTGCTTTGTAGTAGTAACTATTATTCTAGTAATTATAAATATAAAACTTTTTATAATAGTTTTAAATTTAATTAATTTGTATACATTGCATTATAAGTATAGCTTATTTTGAATTAACTTAAATTCTAAAACAATATACTTGATAAAATAGTTTAAAATCTACTTAATTTTCTATAAGTTGAATTCAAATTCTTTAACAACTCGAATACTATTTAGAATTCTATTATAATTTATATTTATTTAGAATCAATCTAAATAAATTTTAAATCTATAATAATTCTATTCTAATCAAAAATTTTAATCATCACACTCTCTCCGTAGATCATTTTGACCGTTTTTTGAGCTAAAGGAAAAACATAATTTTCTAATAAACAGCATTAAGAA